GGGGGGGGGGGGGGGGGGGGGGGGGGGGGGGGGGGGTCATTTTGGGGAGAGCAGCTGACTCATTTGCATTCAGTCCGTCTCACTGAAACAAGCCGAGAGAGAGAGAGTCAAGTGACAGAATCAAGAAGGCTGTCTGCCCACCTTTGGTCACCCACAGCAACAGAAACCTTTTTTTATTGCGGTCACATACATACAGTCACATGTGACTCATGGGATTGAACTGAGAAACCTTCAGACAGATGAATGAAGCGATTATGGTGATGCTTTTGTTCAGGGTGGAGGTTGAATATGTGCCACGCTCCCTGAAAAGATTTCTGCCACTTGTAGTTTTAACCCTTTAAAGCCTGTCATAGAAAAGAATAGTCAGAATTTCTTTGATGGAACAGTTTATTCAACCTTAGAACCTTGAATTAAAAAGGAAACCTAAAGAAATCATACAAGTTTTATGTGTTGTATCATATTTGATACATCAGGCTTTTATGGCCCATAGTAGTGCTATAGGGAGAATATGGAGCTCATTCTTGGGAAGAAACAAAGTAAAACCGTTTTATTCAGAGGCCCAACCTGAGCAGAAATGCAATTTGGTGCAGATCGTATTTATATGTTGCAATTCCGATATCTTGTAATGAAAATCAATGAGATTTTTAGGCCCATATCAGACTACTCGCATTAAAATGCTAAATATTAGTTCTTACTCTATATCTCCCAATAAAATGTTTTAATAAGATGATATTTTGAAATACTGAATCTAGCAATGTGCAGTATAATATATAGTACACCTCTTGCTTACATTTAGACCCACCTTTACTAATTTCACTCCTCATCTTCAAAACGGTTTGACTTTTCCTCATAAAATAATATGCCTACTGCAAACATGTTTTTAAAGTTGATCACCTGGGGTTTAGATGTTTTACAAATAAGAAAGTAATTTGAGGAAATAGCGCCCCCATGTGTGACTCTTAATAATCTTAGCGGCAAACAAAATAAAAGTCCCGTTTCACCGCCCCAGTATTTCCTCAAAACACCCTATAATATTACCGCGTCTGATTTGTCAGTGTAGTATTAAATAACATTCTTATTTGAATATTACATGATTTAAAAATACATATAGTTTTTAATTATTATTTCTTAATCCTCTTAAATTTTAAATGACGTACTGAATTTGGGAAAGCTAGTAGGAAGCGATCCAGGCCTGCTGACGTCACTTCCTGATGGAAGACTCATTCTGAGATTCGGAAGGGACGAGTATTTTATTCTTATTACAGGTAATTGCATTTTTATCCATCAATTAAGCATTAAAATGACTACAATATAAATGTATCTTAGGCGTCTCTCTTTGTAGACGGCTAAATTTATAGCACACGGTACAGTGAGTTAAACATGGTTCAGCAGAAAACCGTAGCCGTCATCCAATTGAACTTCCTCGAAAATAATTCCAGCACGCGACAAAAACGGCTGTGATTATTAGCGGAAGTGTTTTGCTAGTTAAAATGCACCTTACTGGTCAGCGTAAGCTAATTCAGAGTCCTGCTGCTTCTAACACTGCATCAATTAAATGATAACGTGTGTGTGTGTGTGTGTGTGTGAGTGAGTGTGTGTGTGTGTGTGTGTGTGTGTGTGTGTGTGTGTGTGTGTGTGTGTGTGTGTGTGTGTGTATGCGTGTGTGTGTGTGTACCTGGTATTTATCTCGTTATGGGGACCAAATGTCCAAATGGGACATTTTTGAGGTCCCCATGAGGACAAAAGCTTATAAATCATACAGAATGAGTTTTTCTGAGAAAGTAAAAATGCAGAAAGTTTCCTGTGAGGGGTAGGGTTGGTGTAGGGCAATAGAATATAGGGTCTGTACAGTAGAAAAACCATTACGCCTATGGAGAGTCCCCACAAGGATAGCTGACCAGTCTGTGTGTGTGTGTGGAGACCATACGTATGCGCAGAGATGAGCAATCTTTGCTTTTTAATATTTTTTTTAAGCAGTCAAAGATTAATTTCATTCATGTTATTACTGAGCTGATGTTTCTTCTTTCCACAGGCATGAGGCTGAATTTGGTAGTAGTTGTCACTGTGATGTCCATCCCCATGGCACTTGTGCAAGGGGCTGAGAAGAAAAAACTACAGATTGGAATCAAGAAAAGAGTAGACAACTGTCCTATAAAGTCCCGCAAGGGAGACGTGTTGAACATGCACTACACTGTAAGTGTCTGACTGTTCTGACCTAAATATGATTCTTGCCCAAAAATGTCGTCTTCTATCAGTCCTATTTTTATCTGCAGGGGAAACTGGAGGATGGGACAGAATTTGACAGCAGTATACCGAGGAATCAGCCCTTCACCTTTACTCTTGGCACGGGACAGGTCATCAAGGGCTGGGATCAGGGTTTGTTGGGGTGAGCAGCAGCACTACTGCATTTCTAGATGATCTGAGATTATTTGTCATCAATCAGGATAAGGATTTAAAGAGATGAACCTAAAGTTAGTCTAATAAAGAGGAATTAAAAGATTAGGTTTTAGAGCCTGTTGTGAAACCGTTAACTATGTGACCCTGGACCACAAAACCAGTCATAAGGGTCACATTTTTTTAAATTGAGATTTATACATAAATAAGCTTTCCATTGATGTATGGTTAGTTAGGATAGGACAATATTTGGCTGAGATAAAACTGGAATCTTTTGAAAATCTGGAATCTGAGGGTGCAAAAAAAAAAAATCTGAATATTGAGAAAATAGCCTTTAAAGTTGTCCAAAAGAAGTTCCTAGCCATGCATATTATTAATCCAAAATTAAGTTTTGATATATTTACGGTATGAAATTTACAAAATATCCTCATGGGGCATGATCTCTACTTAATATCCTAATGATTTTTGGCATTAAAGAAAAATTGCTTATTTTGACCCATACGATGTATTGTTGGCTATTGCTACAAATATAACAAAGCGACTTAAGACTGATTTTGTGCTCCAGGGTCACATTTATTGGCATGTGTTGATGATGTGGCCTAGTGGTCTGCAAATAGGCTCAAGTGTGTTAAGGTTCAAATTTGACGTCCTTTTCCTTTTTTCTTTCAGTATGATTTCCTGATATATCTTTGATGTATTAATTGATAAAAAACCTATTTAGCATGTGATGTTCCTTCTCTTAACTCTTAGGATGTGTGAGGGTGAGAAGAGGAAGCTGGTTATTCCCTCTGAGCTTGGTGAGTATGTTATGGAAATGTATTATGTTCCATGAGTTTCAAAATCCATCAAAAATGTATGATTTTAGACCACATCTTCAAATATGTGACTGTTTAACTACAGGTTATGGTGACAGAGGAGCACCACCTAAAATTCCAGGTAAGATGATTAGAAATTCTTTCTTCAATTTTCAACATGGAGTCTCATATCAGACATTAATATTGTATATTTTTCTACAATAAATTAAAGATTAAAGCTTGATATGTTAGGGATCCATAGGTCATTCACCTTGACTTAGAGTAGCTTTAAGAAGTATTTGGACACTAAAGCTGCTCTTAAAAACAAAAAAGTTAAGTTTTATTATTTTTTAAAAGCTCCTTAATCATTATCATAGATACTGGCAGAATACTGTCTCACTTTGCAAATCTGTTTTCCCACTAGGTGGTGCCACACTCATCTTTGAAGTAGAACTGTTGAGCATTGAGAGAAGATCTGATTTATAGTGACAGATTTGTGGGCCTGTCAGTCTTAAGCATTTAAAGTCAGTGTGTTTGCAGCAAGATCAGCGACTTCAGCTGCGTGCTACACTGCTGTCCACTGTACCCACATAGCAACTTCTGGTGTTAAAGGGAGAGTCCACCCGCATATGAAAACTCTTATTTATTCGCCCTCATGTCATTCCAAAACGGTATCGGGTTCGGTAAAACATGCAAGAAAATATTTTGAAGAATGCTATGATTTTTGTTCCCATTGACTCCTTTGTAAGGACAAAAAAAATTGAATGGAAGTCAATTGAACTGAAGATTCCAAATATTCTTCAAAATATCATATTTTGTGTCATACAAAAAAAATAAAGTTATACAGGTTTGGAATGACACGAGTATGAGTACATGACGGAATTTTCATTTTTGAGTGGACTATCACTTTAAAGACCTTTTTCAGATATTCAAAAGGTTACAGAAACAAAAGAAGCTTGGTAATAACACTTTCCATATTTTTTTTTGTATGTTTCCCTTTCAAAAAAAGAATGACACAGCTTTTCAGACATGTATGTAGCACCATTCTTTATTTGCGAGCCTTACTACATGTATTTGGTTGTGAGAGTGCACACAGTACAGTTTTTGCCATTCCAACAAATTCTGATCATCAACATATGCATTTCTCAAATCGTGTTGACTTGAAATTGAATAAACATTTTATTTACAAAAGATAGGCGGGCTTTGAGCTTCATTTAGCATTGACCTTGGCCTACACCAACAAAGCATGTTCATTCTTAGCCTTCTTCATCTTCATTTTTGTAAAAATATCAGATGTAACATATTGGCAAATTCACTCTATCAGTATTGCTACTCGTCATCCTCAAACTAGATTGATTTTCCTCAGTCAAATGATTTCTAAAAGCAGTAGTACTAAACACAGGCCTGTCTTTTTTTTCCCCCTAAAAATGGTAGATTAAAAATGGCTTACAAAACACAAGTTCACAATTCTCATCCCCCCTCCCTCTTTCCGCATTACAGCAACACACCCCAAAATCTGAAACCCCTACATCTAAAAACTACTATTATCTGGCCTGCAAAAAATTATTCCGCCCTTACGAAAGAGCAGATGTGAGAAACTGACTGACAAAAAAGGGGGTGAAAAGAAATCAGCTTTGTTCTAATTTCCTACTCGATTACAGACGGATACATCGGGCCAAGTTACCTGGCTGAAAAATGTGTATTAGTGAACAGTGTAACCGTAACATCAACCATTCGATTCCTTTTCGGAGTTTTAAGCTAAAGGGACACTACCACACTCTATATGTAATATATGCTGAAACAGTACTAAGACGAAGTAAAAACAGTTTGGGGTGCTCAACCTGCAGCTGAGATTGGCTTGGCTGGGTTCGTATCGTTGATCTCCTTTGACAAAGACGCTGTGGTTTAGTGGTTGGGTCTGCATGCCTGCATCTCTCCTCTGGGTTTGGAGTGACAGGTTGGTTTTGTGGTGGTGGGAGGAGCTGTGGTGATCTCATGGCGTCAGCTCCCCTTTCTTCTGGGGGGTCCTCAGTTTCTGCATCCCTCGGACCTTCTCCAGCAACGCCGCTACGAAATCCTGCAGGTGGCCAGAGCAAGAATTATGGCAAGAAAAGGCATATTTCTGTCCAGAGTGTGATTAAATGAAGCATAATCACATTGTAATGAGTGACTCGGTGGCTCTAAGAATATCACGGTAGCAAGGTAATTGCTAATGCTATTAATATTCCAAATGGCACTTACATCATTAGGCTTATAACAGTCGACCAGCAGCATCTGAAAACAAAAATGGAAAGAGATTTAATGCCTTTCAGACTAATCTGCTGTTTTTCCAACAGTGTACCAATGAAAGCAGAAACGCTGAAATAAATCTCCTGCTGAAAATGTAGTCTTCAAAAAGAGCTCAAGACTGGAAGGATTACTGTCAAACCACCTGCAGATGAAATGTCAGAGGGCTGTGCAATTCAGCGCAGAAGGGTGAACGTCTTGAATGTTAATATTCTTATGAGGAGATATCTGAAGCAAACAAGAACAGCTTGTGGGCGCCTCCAAGCGAATCATTCGGATCGTTTGAATCAATGAATCAGTAAAGTCGGATCTTTTTTATAAATCAGCACAAGCACACTACTCTGCTCTATTTTACATGACACTACACTACATGTATATTTAAGAAATAGTAATATGTAGAGATGTAGTATATTATCAATGCAGAGCTCACTGTGAAAGGTTTCTTTCGCGCGAAAACCTCCGAACCGAGAACCTGAGCCTTTTATTTTTATTTTTTTTATTTTTTATTATGTAATCGAAGAACAACAAATAATTACAAAGACAAGTACGAACAAAAGACAATAAGCGTTACAAACAATACTCCAAAGCATACTTTGACTGTCCAGTGTAGGGAACTATGATGTCACTTTGTAGGCAAAAACCCGGAAGCGAGTTTTAGCACTTCCGGTTCCATTGTCCCAGAGTCAATGGGTTTTTTTGAATGGGAGTTTGGTTAAATCCAATAAAAAAAGGTCCGTGGTTCACACAAGCTCAAGATACTTTTACGTTTTATTCTACGACATAAAACACACCAGTTACACCCCACTCATGATTTTTTAAAACTGTTACGTTTCGGTTGCTAACAAGTTGCTAAATGGTGCTACAGACGCTGTCGGAGATATGTCATCACGCCGAACAGTTTATCAATTTACGGTATATTCCAATTGTAGTATAATTTATTGTACAATTAATTGTAGAATAACCAATTAATAGTTTACCGCATTTTATATTGATGTTCGCAGTTGTGGAAATGGCCAAAATCCACTGGGGGACTCTAGCTTGGGTCCCCAAGCTAATATATATAATATATAAGTATATTATACTTATATATAAAATATAAGTAATTTTATAATTTTGTAATTTTAGATGACCTTTCGTATGTATTTAATTATAA